GGGCTGATATGAAGGGAGCCTTCTGATGTTGAGGGGGGACTCTATAGTGGTGGACGTCTGATGTGAAGGGAACCTTCCGATGTGGAGGGGGCAATCTCATGTGTATCGGGGGACTCTCCCGTAGCCATGAGCCCGACATTACTTTTTGTGGCACGATAATTCTACGCTGACATGTCGAGGACAAAGCTCTGAGTGCCGAAAAACAATATGCCAACTACTCAATACCAACAACAACGATCTACATATGTGAGCCAAACACAACCTCTCGTTGAACCTCTGCTGGGATAAACAGAGACAACAGTAGCTGAGCTGAAAGGGCGAGCTCCACCGCAACCAAAAGGAAGAACTCGATAGGAAGAAGTAACGATAATCCTACCCAGCAGGTCCTTTCTCGTGATGTGCTCACACACCATCCGGGCCTCATTCAGGATCTGGAGGACGTGGCCCGAATCATAAGACTGGCTCTGCAGCATATAATTAGCAGCCTCGTTGAGAGCCAGGGCCACCACGTCCAGCCTCTGGGCCTCCATGTACGAGTCCGCAGCCTCCTGGAAGCACTGGGCCGCCCTGGCCAAGTCCTTCATCCCCAGGTAGCAGTACCCCATCTTCATATGGGCGTCCCCTTCGTTCCCCCGCTGCGAGGGCTTGTACAGGATGATGGCCTTCCTAAAATATTCCACGGCTTTGGGGAAGTCCAGCATGGCTTCGTAGGCTGTGCCGAGGTTGAAGTAGAGGTCCCCCGTGGGCTCCTCTTCTCCGTCACTCGGCTGGGACTTGAGAAGGAACTCCAGTCCTTTCTCTGGTTTGCCGCTTTCCACGTACACGGCCCCCAGGTTGAACGCGCAGGCCCTCTGGACTGTCTTCATCTTGGTGCCCAGGGACAGCAGGAAGGCCCTCTTGAAGCAGGTCATGGCCACCTGGAGGTCTCCGGAGGTCAGGGCCTTGTGTCCAGATTTGGTCAGGGCCTCGATTTCTGTCTGAGAGATCTGTGGGTCCTCCTCGTCTTTCCCATCCGCCTCTCCTGACCTCTTCGCATCGTCTTTCAATTTCTTCTTTTTCTTTTTAGCTGTGCGGGGCTCTGGAGGCCCACAATCCTCGGGGTTCGGCGTCTGCTCCGCCTGCAGGTCTCCGGAAGCCATCGCGATTCGCCGTGGTTTCAGAGAGATTCTCTGAGGAGAAAGAAATACAAGCAAATAACCAAGGGAGTAGAGAGATTCTCTGAGGAGAAAGAAATACAAGCAAATAAGCAAGGGAGTATCACACAGCTG